CAAAGATTTTGGGTGTATACAAAGTTTATGAGAAACTTGTATTTCCAAAGAAGTGAGTGGAAGCACTATAGAATTTCTGATGAGTATATGTTGTTGACATATTAATGATCAGAAATGACGTAGAATTTCTGGAAAGCATATAGGGTTATTTGGAAAGTGTTTTCAATGGAAAACATGGACTAAGCTACTTGAACATTGAGCATCAAGATCTATAAGGATAGATCAAAACGCTTAATAGTACTTTCAAATGAGCACATGCCTTGACGTGATCTTGAAGGTGTTCAAGATGGATCAGTCAAAGAAGGAGTTCTTGCCTGAGTTGTAAGGTATGAAGTTAAGACTTAAAGCTCGACCATGGCAGAATAGAGAGAAAGGAACGAAGGTCGTCCCCTATGCTTAAGACATAGGCTCTACAGTATGCTATGCTGTGTACCGCACCTGAAGTGTGCTTTACCATGAGTCAGTCAAGGGGTACAAGAGTGATCCAAGAATGGATCACAGGTCAGCGGTCAAAGTTTTCCTTAGTAACTAGTGGACTAAGGAATTTTCTCAATTATGGAGGTGGTAAAAGAGTTCGTCGTAAAGGGTTACGTCGATGCAAGCTTAACACCTATCCGGATAGCTCTGAGTAGAGATACCGGATACGTATAATGGAGCAACAATTTAGAATAGCTCCAAGTAGAACAGTTATTTGGAATAGCTCCAAATAGAACGTGGTAGCTGCATCTAGGAGATGACATAGAGATTTGTAAAGCACACACGGATCTGAAAGGTTCAGACCCGTTGACTATAACCTCTCTCACAAGCATAACATGATCAAACCCAGAACTCTTTGGGTGTTAGTCACATGGGGATGTGACCTTGAGTGTTAATCAAATATCGATGTGAACTAGATTATTGACTCTAGTGCAAGTGGGAGACTGTTGGAAATATGCCCTAGAGGCAATAATAAATTGATTATTATTATATTTCCTTGTTCATGATAATCGTTTATTATCCATGCTAGAATTGTATTGATAGGAAACTCAGATACATGTGTGGATACATAGACAACACCATGTCCCTAGTAAGCCTCTAGTTGACTAGCTCGTTAGTCAATAGATGGTTACGGTTTCCTGACCATGGACATTGGATGTCGTTGATAACGGGATCACATCATTAGGATAATGATGTGATGGACAAGACCCAATCCTAAGCCTAGCACAAGATCATGTAGTTCGTATGCTAAAGCTTTTCTAATGTCAAGTATCATTTCCTTAGACCATGAGATTGTGCAACTCCCGGATACCGTAGGAGTGCTTTGGGTGTGCCAAACGTCACAACGTAACTGGGTGGCTATAAAGGTACACTACGGGTATCTCTGAAAGTGTCTGTTGGGTTGGCACGAATCGAGATTGGGATTTTGTCACTCCGTGTAAACGGAGAGGTATCTCTGGGCCCACTCGGTAGGACATCATCATAATGTGCACAATGTGACCAAGGGGTTGATCACGGGATGATGTGTTACGAAACGAGTAAAGAGACTTGCCGGTAACGAGATTGAACAAGGTATCGGTATACCGACGATCGAATCTCGGGCAAGTACCATACCGCTAGACAAAGGGAATTGTATACGGGATTGATTGAGTCCTTGACATCGTGGTTCATCCGATGAGATCATCGTGGAACATGTGGGAGCCAACATGGGTATCCAGATCCCGCTGTTGGTTATTGACCGGAGAACATCTCGGTCATGTCTGCATGTCTCCCGAACCCGTAGGGTCTACACACTTAAGGTTCGATGATGCTAGGGTTATAAAGGAAGCTTGTATGTGGTTACCGAATGTTGTTCGGAGTCCCGGATGAGATCCCGGACGTCACGAGGAGTTCCGGAATGGTCCGGAGGTAAAGATTTATATATAGGAAGTCCTGTTTCGGCCATCGGGACAAGTTTCGGGGTCATCGGTATTGTACCGGGACCACCGGAAGGGTCCCGGGGGCCCACCGGGTGGGGCCACCTGCCCCGGGGGGCCACATGGGCTGTAGGGGGTGCGCCTTGGCCTACATGGGCCAAGGGCACCAGCCCCTAGAGGCCCATGCGCCAAGATAAAGGAAAAAGGGGAGAGTCCTAAAGGGGGAAGGCACCTCCAAGGTGCCTTGGGGAGGATGGACTCCTCCCCCCCTCCTTAGCCGCACCCCTTCCTTGGAGGAGGGGGCAAGGCTGCGCCTCCCCCCTCTCCCCTGCCCCTATATATAGTGGAGGGGAGGGAGGGCATCCATACCTGAGCCCTTGGCGCCTCCCTCCCTCCCGTGACACCTCCTCCTCTCCCGTAGGTGCTTGGCGAAGCCCTGCAGGATTGCCATGCTCCTCCATCACCACCATGCCGTTGTGCTGCTGCTGGATGGAGTCTTCCTCAACCTCTCCCTCTCTCCTTGCTGGATCAAGGCGTGGGAGACATCGTCGAGCTGTACGTGTGTTGAACGCGGAGGTGCCGTCCGTTCGGCACTAGGATCATCGGTGATCTGAATCACGACGAGTACGACTCCATCAACCCCGTTCACTTGAACGCTTCCGCTTAGCGATCTACAAGGGTATGTAGATGCACTCTCTTTCTACTCGTTGCTGGTCTCTACATAGATAGATCTTGGTGATTCGTAGGAAATTTTTTGAATTTCTGCTACGTTCCCCAACATGCAGGTACCATTTATCTTTGTTTGTGTGAGTCTCCTATTGGTTCGACAAACCTTGGTTCTTAATTGAGGGAAATACCTTCTTCTACTATACTACACCACCCTTCCTCTTCGGGGAAATCCCAATGCCTATCAAAAGTAGCAGGCCTCGCGATGAAGAATAGGAGGTGACGGTGGCTCCATATCGTAAAACGTGATAAAACTTTATCTCTGATTTTCTCTCGGGAAGACGGTACTTATGGACTTGGAGGTAGGGCAAACGGAGCCCCGAGGGCCCCACAAGCTCAAATGGAGCCCCCCTCTCACAATTCTCCGTAAAATTTCGTCTAGTTCTGAGAACTTTTTATTTCTGCACAAAAAACAATAAGGTAGTTCTGCTGAAAAGAACGTCAGCCTGGGTTAGTTTTATTCAAATCATGCAAATTAGAGTCCAAAGTAAGAGCGAAAGTGTTTGAAAAAGTAGATACATTATAGACGTATCACGGTCCGATGTGCTGGGCGCATCCGGACGTCCCCATATTCACCTCACATATGGTTTGAGTATGAGGGGTGCCGGACAATTCAAACGTTTTGGCTAGGTTTAAGGGATCTGGTTGGGCGATAGTTTTAGGACACTTTTATGTACGATTATAATGACCTGTCACCTGTGATTGTAGGCAGTATTTTGTTGATTCATCTATTATAAATTTTTAGATAAAACTACAGAAATATTATTTTCCACGTAGGAGCTCGGGATATTACAAAGAATCTACCATCATCCACAATATGTCTAATCAGATGTGACATGTGTATATGCAACGACAATGATTGATTGTAATTTGTCCGGACACAATCATTATGATATATCCATTACGATTTTCTTAGTATTTGTTACATAGATTTATCATTTGTGTGTACTACTAATGGAGTGTAACATTGTACTGGTGGGGATGAATAATATAATGGCGATGAATGCTCTTCGCTAAATGAAGGTCGATCTATGTTGGTTGGTCATGTGTTGGAAGATAGCAGAGTTTTGTTAAGAGAGTTCGGAAAAATTACTATTGAGCACTGTAATAGAAAATCGAAATTAGTTGCTTATGAGCTAGGTCGTCGGGGTAGTGCTAACACTCTATCGGTGTGGTAGTTTAGAAAACCGTACCTATGAGCCAATTGGGTCTGGTTTTAACCGGTCGGACCGCTGGTTCACCGGTTCAATTGTTGTTTTTTTTAGACAAAACATATACAAATAGGTAAAATAAGTAAACGTTTAATCGTTTAACAGAAACTTGTTCGTGGAGAGATGGTTGGTAGGCTGAGTATAGCTCCGCGGCTTTCTTCCCTCACAGCCACCTGAGTTCGATTTCCATTGAAAGCAAGCCTTTTCTATTTTGCAGGTATAAAGGTGGTTTAGTCGATCTGGTTTATACTCCCGGTTCACAATAAACCATTTGAAAACCAGCCGGTTTGACGGGTTCCGTCCAATCTGATTGTAGGACGGTCCAGTGAGCCTAAAAAACAGCCATCAATGCCAGTTTCGGTTCTGACGGTCGGACCGGTTGCTTAAACTATGGTGTGGATGGATGCACCACCTGATTTCATTGACAAATTCTAAGTAGACTATATACGTGTTATTTGATTATTAACAAAGCTACGAAGGCCTTTTCATCAAATTTTTATATAAGAGACTGTCTACTAAATTAACAGTTGACGCCGCAACGATCGAACCCCCACACTGTGTCGGTGCGTCTGAGCTCTACCCGGCCGGAGGGCCGTGCTCGTTCATTTCATTCATTCCGCCGTACCCGAAGCCCCATTTACGCATCATCAACTCAACTCAACTAAACAAAGGAGGGACAGCAGCCTGGTGCATCTGCATTTGAAAAAGAGGATCGCATCAGACCGTTGCTTAGCACGGGGGCACACTCCGCCCGTTTTATTCCATTCCACGAAAAATCGCCACCACGCTCCCGGCTCGATAAAAACAAGCAAGCAAAGGTTCCGTTAAGCCTTTCCTAATCCTAAGCTGAAAAAGAAAGGGGTTTCCGAACCCGTCGGCTCGCAGCCAGCCAGCCAGCCAGCCAGCCACTAATCCCCAACGCCTTTTCCTCGCTCCGCCTCCCCCCATCCCTCTCTCTAGAAGACTCATCGCCACGGCCGCCATTCCCGTCCGCCTCCTCCTCCTCCCCTCCAGTAAACCCTAGCCGCCGAACCCCCAGCCCCCCCACACCAGCGCCCGAATCCGTCGCCCGCCGCAGTCCCGCTCGACCCAGGGCTCGCCGTTTCCGCCGATCTTTTTCGAGGGGCAAATTTTTCTCCCGGGGCGATTTCTGCCTTCATCCGGTGGAGACATGGGGAGCCGGAGGGAGGAGGAGAGGAACGAGAAGATCATCCGCGGCCTCATGAAGCTGCCGCCCAACCGCAAGTGCATCAACTGCAACAGTGTGGTACTGGCCTCCTCCTCCACCTCCTCCACTTGTTTATCGCGCCGCCGCTAAGCTGATTGACGCGTCTGTCCTGTTTCGCTTCGCGGATCATTGACCCCGAGACCGTGAGGTTCGGTGGTTTAGCTCGGATTTACGAAATTTGCTGTCTCTGCTGCGGATTATTTGTTCGCTCGTGTGTGTTTAAGCTGCGGCTGTCGGGTTGGGGATGGCAAGGATTGCACTGTTACCTACCTGTATCATTTTGCTTTAGATGGTTAGATGCTTGGTTGATCGCCGGGGTAATTACCTTGATGGGTTGCATAAACTGTTGATTTTGTTGCCGTTGGAGTAATCTAGGATTGCTGGTTTGGTCTGTTAATTCAGAACTCCTTTTGGTCTGCCAAGATCCTCGTCACTTCTGTGCGCAGTTGCCCTTCATTGTTTGCTACTGAAGTTGCTTAGTTGGCTAAAAGTGCTGATAGTTTGGTGCTTTTAATGTCAGTAGAAGCAATTTGTGTTGCTCTTGCGTATTTTTCAGGTTGTAGATTTCCTTACTATTTTTGTAACGATGGTCGCTTAGTTGACTGAAAGGTGTCTACATTGCTTAACTTTTGTTGAATCCTACCTTTGTAATCTTGCGTTAAATATAATGAGGTCACTGTATTTACTCAACTCTCTGAATCATGCTAGATGCTGTTATATTGACATTTCTTTTGAATCGCACAACTAACGTTTATTTTGGTGTAGGGGCCACAATATGTATGCACCAATTTCTGGACCTTTACATGCTTGTCATGTAGTGGGATACAGTGAGTATCTTAGAACTTTGGGGATTTTTTTTGCCGCTTCAGTTCTTCCTTTTAGTCTTTGGCCTTATATCTCATGTTTAGTTTTAGTTATATGCCAAATTCTCTTCTGCATAAATTTGTGATGTGGTATTTGATACTACCTTGCTCGCAAATAGATTACTTCCTAGAAAGCGTGCAATCAAACTCTTCTAACTTTGATGACTAATATATACAAAATCATATGGATTGGTAAGTTGAAAATAGTATCATTAGATTTGTCGTGAACAATACTTTCATGATACAATTTTTGTACAAAAAATAATGGTCATAGATGCATATTGGAGACCATTTCTTTACAGAGGGAGTATTTATGAACGGAGCATACTCTATGATACAAAGGAGTAGATACTCTTTGTTGTCATGAAATAGTTAACAATCCAATATCACAATGTCTCACACTATTCCACTGTAATCTTACTACATATGTGCAATTGGAATTTTCCATATAAAACTCTAGGGCATGAGGTCATTTCATGATTATCATGAGATGGTCTCTAGATTAGCTAATTTCTCAAAGTGAACATCCCACTAGTATCCTGAGATAGCCGCATGTAGCCACTTTGCCATTTGCTGAAATAGATGATGAAGTTATGCTGTCTTGTTAAGCTATCCCCAGTTACTGCATTTTCCTGTCGTGCCCTTAATAGTAATTTTTATTCTGTGTTTGATATAACAGCCGTGAGTTCACTCACCGTGTTAAATCAGTGTCAATGTCTAAATTCACTACCCAAGAAGTGCGGGCTCTTGAACAGGGTGGTAACCAGGTAACTGTGCTCAGAACTGTTCTACCATTCCCATCTTGAGTTACTTGTTCAACTTAACGACTTACATCGGAGTTGGTAACTAACTGCAGCGAGCACGTGATATCTACCTAAAAGATTGGGATTGGCAGCGAATGAGGTTGCCTGACAACAGGTGAGTTTGTTTCATTCTTAAGTTCCTTTTAGTCACGTCCTGCATCCTGTGCTATGAAAAACTGCTACATTTCCTCTTATGCTACCAAGTAACTTTCTGTTTCAGCAAACCAGATAGGATAAGGGAATTTATCAGAACTGTTTATGTAGACAAGAAGTATGCTGGTGCGAAGTCCACCGACAAACCAGCCACTGATAGTGAGGTAACGAGTTAGTAAAATCTAAAGAGTGATGGTCTTTAATTCTGGATATCTAAGTGCCGAATTTCCCCTCATCTAACAGTTGAACATTTCTAACACTGTTCATGCTGCAATCCTTTTCATTATTAGCCACACATATGTGCTAACTATACATTCTAATTTTTCAACAGAGTGTAAAGGGCAATGAAAGTGAAACAAGAAGACCCGACTCCTATCATTCATACTCGCAAAGCCCACCTTATGATTTTCAGTATGAGGATAGACGATATGGCAAGCAAGTTAACACGCTTGCTCGTAGGCCTTCGGATAGGGCACTCTTTGATGGGAAACTCGGCAGCCTATTGTACAGTCCGGGTCGTTCCAGGGATCAGATGCATGAAGATCGATTTGCTAATGAGAGTCACGGATCAAGATTTTCTGACTTTTCAGCCTCAAGCACCAGTGACTTTAGAAACGATGTGCTTTCTCCTAGCTCTCAGGATACAGGGTACAGCAGCCCTTCTGTGCACCATTCAAGAAATGTATCAGCTGAAAATCCTCAATCCCAAAGACATCCAAATGCAGTTTCACAAATAGAATCTAATGGAGGTCATCGTTCACAGGTTATTGATCCTCCCATCTCCATCTTCACTTTGCAGTAAAATTACCTATTCACTTGTGCAATTCTTGAAGTAGATTGGGTAAGACATAAAATATATCTTCTTCATATGTGCAGCGAACAGCTTCTTCTGGAAGTTTTGGATCGTTTGATGGTAGCTCACCATCTAATAAATCAGTTGATTCAGGTGTCCTACCTGATGCACCTACAGAAAGGCCAGTGCCCTCTGCTGCAAACCGTCAGAGTGGGGCATCTTCTGTAGCTCATTCTACACAACCGTATGCCTTGCAGCAGAGTGCGAATTCTTCAGCCAGCCAAATTGCCCCCCAAGAATCTCTGCGGCATTTGCCTGTTTCAGCCCAACCACAACCACAACCAACGGCTTTCTCTAATCAAGACCTCTTTGACATGTCAACATTGCCGCAACCCGTTGTTTGTGCACCACCAATAGATTTGTTTGCCGGCTTTAATCAACAGACTGCATCAGTTCCTAATGGTCATTCTGATGTTGTTAAAGAAGCTGTGCATAATGCTGTGGTTCAGAAGGTTGTCACGGCTTCAGCGTCTGTATCAGCAGAAGCAGTCCCCACATCTCATCCTGTGCACCAAGATCTCTTCAGTCTGTCAATAGCGCAGGACTCAGCAACTTCTTCTTCCCCTCCGTCAGTGGATCTGTTTGCTGGCTTTGACCAACAGCTGCCACCTACGTCTAGTGTTCATCATATTACACCAGCAGCTCCATTGCCTGCTAATGAAGGGTGGGCATTCTTCGACACACCTCAATATGGTTCGTCAACTTCTGTTTCAAATGTGCAATCTCAGGTGCCTGCTGCATTGCCAAGTGTTGTTGCCAAAGCAATTGATCAATCAACATTGCCAAATTCACCACCAAGTGCCATCATGTCACAAACATCTCCGCCTACTATGGACCAGTGGAGTTTAAATGCTGAAGAGGTGAAGATCCCTGTCTCGAAGGAAAACTCCCAGGTACTTTAGCATTTGGTATATAAAGCTGTGAAGCTTGCTGCAGCTTTACTTTTACTGAGCTAAATATGAATTTTGATTTCCTTGGTTGCTTCCTAGGACTGGAATGCCTTTGGTGAATCCACTGGGAACATGCCTAATAATGTGTTTGCATTCAATGATATGCCTCAAGTAGCACCTCATCAGTTTGCCATACCCGGTGTTCCATACATGGGATCCAGAACTTCGCAGGTGTGTGTAACTGGCGTTTTGATCACTTTAAAAAGCTGAAAAGAAAACATATTTCTTTATTTCCCAAAGAAGGCTGGACTGAACAGGTTGAACCATTCTTTTAGGACTTGGCTAGGGGTGAGCCTGAAAGGTCAACTCCTGGGGATATATTCCCTGGCTTCAATGTCTCTCCTGGTGTCCTGGCTGAGCCATCATTTCCTGCACCACTTCAATCCCAACTGGTATGTGTTCTCCATGATTGAAGGTTCTCTCCTCATGCTTCCCTGACATTAGTTCCATATGATTGGAAGCTACTCCCTCTTATATTATGGGACGGAGAGAGTAGCTTACATGGATATATACGTGGGATGGTTTGACATATGATACTGTATGTATTTTGTACTTGGCTAAAATAGAAGTTCAATTAAGGTGATACTAGGCCTTACAGTTCTTTAGCTCTGACTGTGTGTATCGAGGCATTACATGCCTTCTTGTGCATGGATTTGTGGCTGCTTTCATGTCTGTATACATATTGCTGGTGTAGGAAAGACTTGTAAAGCTGTATTTGCTTCTCTCTTCTTTTCTTTTTGCCTGCCAGGCTGTCATGGGGCTACTGGACAACCTGAGCCATTTTACCCCAGTAGTCTCTTAAGTACTCCATTGTACCTGTTTATCTCTTTTAACTGATCTTTTGAATCTGGTTTCAGGACATGGTGTCTCAGGCTGGAAAATCAACAAATCCGTTTGACATGGCATTTGAGTCTGATGTCGAAGCCAACGACATGGTGTGTAACTGTACTGCTATTTTCTGGTTTGCACTTAGAACTATTATAACATGGACTACTAATTGTTCCTTTTGTTTGTGAACAAACTGTAAGATGTGCTTTAGAATAAGCTGTTGCTAACTCAGTGTAAGATGTGCTTTAGAATAAGCTGTTGCTACCTCACACACGACATCCTTTTACATTCTTTTAATGGCCGCTATCTCAGAATGCAGTTGTTTTCGTGCTGCCAAAACCCTGTCATACGTGTTCTTATTTATGATATTTTTTATTCCTCTTTTCAGTTTATGGATTTGACCTCACTACAAGCAACATTGCCGGATCCTCATGTTCCCGCAGACTACTCCGGCAACTTAACCGAGCCATGGATGCCTCAGAATTCTACGGTGCCATATATTCCTTCTGCATCTCAGGGTAATCCGCCTCTTCACGCCAAATTGATCCTCAAGCAGAAGTACACAAGTACATGAAACACATGAACTCTCGTTGTTTTTTTTTGCGACAGAAAGAGAGTTTTATTCCATAATCAGAGGGTTACAATCGAGAGGCACCAACTCCTCAATACAAGGTGGGCTCCTTCCCAGCCATACGGCAGTAGTAGACTCCGTACGACTATACAATGCCAACCGATGTGCTACCCTATTTTGCTCATGCTTTATTTTTGATGGAACAAACTCTTGATCCTGAAGATGACGCTTGATCTCAAGTACCAAATGCCCATAAACAGACCTGGACAAGCTGTCCCCAGTCATTGCAGCTAGTGCCGTAGATGAGTCTGACTGAACCACAATTGGCAAGGATGAGTGCTGCAGGGCCAAGGCCATACCCTGCATTATTGCATGTAGTTCCGCTTCCAGCGCATCGTTGCAGTTGAAGATGCATCTGTATGCCGCAAAGATCACACCACCCTCATGATTTCGAAGTATCATACCTGCTGCCGCCGACCCGTCCTCTTGCATGAAGGCACCATCCACCGAAAGCGCAGCCCATCCCGTGGGCGGTCGCGGCCAGTGAAGAGGTATTGGCGGGGCGGGTACCTCGGCGTTTGCCTCCCGGACCGCTGGCATTTTCCCTTTGAGAATATCATCCGTGGAGAAAGTACCACAGGTTCAAGGAATTCATATAACTTTGAAGGTAATCCGACGTTGCCGTTACGGACGGAGCATCCTTTCCGTGTGTAAGGTCCGATCGTAGCGACCAAATCCTCCATATCAACATGATCGTGCAATCCCGCATGTGATCATCGCAGTTTGCCAGGACGTTTAAAAGCCATTCCTTCCCAGTATCATGAAGGAGCTCCTGGCTCGGTAAACGCCAAACAGTTCTCATCTGAGCCCATATCCTCTGCGCATGCTCACATGACACTAGAGCATGAAAGCTAGTCTCCTTTTCTCGGCCACACACCCGACAGCTATCCCTAGTAGATATGTGACGATACTTCTTGCATTCATTTGTAGCTAAAGCACCGGAGACAACCTTCCAGGCCATAATTCTCATCTTTAGAGGCACTTTAGAGCTCCAAATCCGCTGCCAAATGGGCCTCCGACCTGAAGAATTACTGCTTGACGAGCTGAGCCGCATGGAGTGCTGGACTTCCGTTGCTAGATGATAAGCACTACGCACAGTGAACTGTCCAGACCACTCCGGGGCCCAAGCGATGAAATCCTGCCCGTTCCTTGGAGATGTGCGTATCTTCACGATCTCCCTGACATCCATGTCCCAAAAATGCTCCCTAAGCCGTTCCACATCCCATGCTCCATGTTCATTCAGAAAATCAGCCACCCGATTGTACCGACAGTTCCCTTTAGGAGTGATCGGTCTGAAATTGTGACCACGAGGAATCCAAGCATCTCTCCAGCCTTTTATCATTGTGCCGTTGCCAACGCGCCATATAATGCCCTTTTTCACCAGATCAAGTCCATGAACAATACCCTTCCATACCGCCGAACTGTTAGATGAGAAAACAGTGTCAAGCAAATTTCCCCTAGGGTAGTATTTGGCCTTCAATAATCTCGCACAAAGGCTATCTGGGCTATCTAAGAGGCGCCAAGCAGGCCAAGCCTGCTTGGCAAGCAGAGCTTGATTAAACGCCCTCATGTCTCGGAATCCCATGCCCCCCATTGCTTTGGGTAACATCATCCTCTCCCAGCTTAACCAGGCCATCTTCCTTTTGCCATTTTCCACCCCCCACCAATATTGCCGCATCATCTTGGTTAGATCATCACACACAGAGGCCGGCAATTTGAACACACTCATTACATAGGTGGGAATCGCCTGAGCCACGGCCTTGATAAGAATCTCTTTATTTCCACCTGAAACATATTGTTCACTCCAATCAATAAGAATTTTCCTCAATCTATCTTGCAGTGTCTCAAACTGCCCCTTGTGAACTCTTCCTTCAGGGACCGGGAGTCCAAGGTATTTTGGTTCAAACACCTGTTGCGTTACCTCCAATGTACTCTTGATCTCATCCACGACTGACCCATCGCAATTGTCAGAAAAAAGGATGGAACACTTCTCGGGGTTTATAAGTTGACCCGTCGCCGAGGAATAAGTGTTCAACAAACCTTTAACAACATTCGCCTGCTGGCCTGAAGCTTCAAAAAATAGCAAGGTGTCATCCGCAAAGAGGAGATGAGATATCTCCGGTGCACCCCGACAAATGCTCACCCCGTTCAAGCTACCTTCATTCACTGATTTAGATAGGAGAGCAGATAACGCATCAGCGACAAAGAGAAACAAAAACGGAGACAATGGGTCACCTTGATGAAGGCCACGCGATGGTGAAAAGACCTCCAGAAGTTTCCCATTCAGTTTAACCGAATAACGGACAGATTTGACACAAGACATTATCCAAGCTATCCACTGTTCCGAGAAGCCCCATCTACTCAGCGCCTTCTCCAGAAAATCCCAGTCGACCCGATCGTACGCCTTTGAAAGATCGAGTTTGTACGCGCAGGCCGCCCGACTGGTGTTCTTCAACGATTGTATGTGATGGATGCACTCAAAGGCAATATAGAATTATCCGAGATGAGCCGGCCCGGAATAAAAGCACTTTGATTCTCAGAAATCAACTCCGACAGACAGGGACGGAGACGGTTAACCAAACATTTAGACACCAACTTGTAAATAACATTGCAGAGGCTGATCGGCCTGAAATCCTTGAGCTCCTTGGGATGAGGAACTTTCGGGATGAGGACGATCGCCGTATCATTAACCCCTTCTGGCATGGAGCCAGAGACAAAGAACTCCAACACAACAGCTGTGATTTCAGATTTTAGAGCTGCCCAATTCCGTTGATAGAACCTTGCCGGGAAGCCATCCGTGCCCGGAGCTTTAAGCGGACCAATTTGAAACAGTGCATTCGACACTTCCTCCTCGGTAAACGGCGCACATAACATGGCGTTCATCTGTCCAGTCACCTTAGGGCCAATAGCCTCAAGAACGACATCGGGGTTGAGAGTCGGGTCCTTGGTGTACACTTCCTTGAAGTAGGAAGTAGCCATGCGTTCCATGTCCGATGGAGAGGAGCACCATGATCCATCAGTACGCCGAAGTCTCTGTATGTAGTTCCTCCGCGCCCGCCACACAGCTCGCCTATGCAAATATGCCGTGTTTCGTTCTCCCTCCTTCAGCCACGTAATGCGCGATCTCTGTAACCACATCATCTCTTCCCTATATAGCAGCTCATTGAGTTGAGCCATCTTCTGGCGAATCAACGAACGATCCGCATCCTTTAGCTGTAGGTCAACCAGCTCGGATCTTAACTTCTCCAATTCTGTGACATGGCCGAAATTCTTCTTACTCCACGCCCTAAGGCCATTCATCATTTCATGTAGGGCGTCCCGCACCGCCGCCAGATTGCCGGCCGGTTTGCTTTTCCTCCATCCACTCGCCACCACCTCTGACAACGCCGGGTGGCGTTCCCACATAATCTCATACCGAGGAGAGGCTGTAGTCCTCCTCGAATCCTCAAGAGCCAATCGAACCACGATCGGACAGTGGTCAGAACATGACGAAGCAAGGTGAACAACTTGCGCGGCCGGGAAGAGCTCCCTCCACCCCTCATCCGCACAGGCTCGATCAAGGCGAACTCGCACGTTCCTCTCTCCAATATGCCCATTATCATATGTAAATGGATACCCGAGAAACCGAGGTCCCATAATTCGCATGCCAACAAACAGTCCCGGAATAACCCCATCTGATTTTCAGAGCGCTGGGCTCTAGACATATGCTCGTGCTGCCACATTGCCTCGTTAAAGTCTCCACACACTAACCACGGCTCTAACGAAACCGCACGGAGCTGGGAAAGAGAACTCCACATGAGATGACGGTTTTCAACTCGGGGTTCCCCATAGACAAACGTCGTTCTCCAACTTTTATCATTTGCCACATCTACAATCCGCACGTCAATGTACCGTGCACAAGAATCTAGCACCGTCACTTGCAACTTCTCATCCCAAAAGAGTGCAAGGCCTCCACTAAGGCCGTCACTCGACACGCCAGCAAAACCCTTCATCTGCAATCTCCACCTCAGTTTCTCCATCTTTGAAGGGGCCTGTCTTGTTTCTGACAGAAAAACAAGCCCTTGGC